CTCAAGGGTACCTGCCTGTTTGTTGGTAAACATCAGTGTACCAAATAGGGCATGCATACTCAATAACAAATCTAACAACTTGTACAATAGAAATATTTTAGAGACTGGATCCTGGAGGCCAGCTCTGCTAATTTCTTTAAGAAATAAATCCTCATATTACATTTATAACAAGTGCTGGTAAGTTAGTTTTAACACGTTTACAACTAATCTGGAGTTTAACAGTTTTCTTCTCATTAACTACCATATCATTAATGCAGGACCATTCATATATGTTATCACATGCACTTTGCATACTCCTACAGTTATTAGAGAAGATAGTCTCTAAAGCAGTAGTGTCATCCATGTATTTAATCAATGGTAAATTAACATGAAGACTGTTAATGAACACTATAAACAGGACTGGTCCTAGCCAAGATTCTTAAGGTACGCCTCCTTTGGGAGACAACCAAGACGAAAAGTGCTTCCCTATTCTTACACGTTGGTAACTATTACATAAGAAAGACCCAATCCATGTCACCAGGATTTCATTAACATTTAAAAAACATAGTTTTTTAATTATAAATTATGTTCGATTAGGTCGAACGCCTTTTTTCTAGAAGTAGGACTTTAACTCCCTTTCCTTTATCTGTGTAGTAAAACCATTATCATTATTATTAACCTTGATATAAACAACCAGAGCATAGTCAGTTAAAAATAATTGCCTTCGTTGAACTAAGAAATTTTAACATTACAATTCCAATATTCGATTTTTTTTTTCACTTTTTATATTTAAGGAAGTTATATAGCTTTTTTTCATTCGAAAACTATAACATTCGTTATTTTTTTCTAGGAAAATATCTCCTCCATGTAATTACATGTTGAAAAAACTAACCTATACAGAATAAAAATTGAATATGTAGTGATAAGTAAAAATATCGATATCAGCGAATAACTGTGCATGTATAGGCTACTGCGCCATTAAATGTCTCCATATACATGTCATTATATATTTATACACATAATTTCCATAGTAAACACATACGCATGCTACAGTACCGTACGTTTGTATAATGTATGTAGGTCCGTAATATAAAACAGTCTGAACTTCGAGTTGCGTGTCATATCCCAGCTGTCACAGCAACTTCACTTGATGGACGCTACTCAATTTTAAACTCTAAGGACTCTTTTACTTCAAAATGTAAAGGGATTTATTGACTGAAAGGAAATATTTATGCCACTCGCAATCTATACAGCTTTACCGCTCGATATCTTCTGCTAATAACATTTTTAAATAAATTGTGGAGAAAATGTGTTTACTTATATATATATTTTATATATAATAGTTTTGAAGACAGTTATTAATGTAACGCAGAATACCTGTTTATATAAATTGATATATAGTCATAAGTTATTGACTGTTAATTGACAAATAATTGTCCCAAATAATGTTTTAAAATTGATGAGGTTGATGATAATTAAGACAAATATTCCGTACAGAAACATATATTTGGAAACCTACAAAATACTATATTTAATTAATTGCAAGACCTACTAGACCGGCTGATCGATCAATCCAGTTAATTTTTGAATCAATCAATCAATCAATCAATCAATCAATCAATCAATCAATCAATCAATCAATCAATCAATCAATCAATTAATTAATTAATTAATTAATCAATCAATCAATCAGTCAATCAATATATTGACTGATACTATTGATACTATATCAACCAACCAAATCAATTAATCAATCGATCAATTTTCAGCGATTGACCTTACACAGACCGTACAGTGAAAATCAGTTTCATCGTCTTGAAATCCAATTTTGAATATACGCGTATATTTCTTAGCTGGATAAGCCTAAGCCACGCCCTTAATGTTAGTCATTACTTATTTGTACTTAAGATATAACATGAACCTTAAAGCTTAGGGATTTGATCGAGCGTCATTAGTTTTTGCTCAATTGTTACTCTGTAATCCAGAGAAATTGCTTGAAATTCATACTGCTATCTTCATGAATATATTCGCAGGTAGCCTTAACTCAAGTATTATTATCTAGATAAAATAATCTGGAGTAGAAGATCGATAATAATATCCAATTAATTGGAACTAATGTCTTTATGAATTATTTAATTTCATATAGAAAAATTAATTATAACTAAATATTCTTCCTATAAATAAAATTTGAATTATTAATCTATTTGCGCTTACAACACAAAATGTAATCAATTTTACGTAAATCAAATTATGGTTATCCGAATTGTGTCAGTTTCGAGCTCGGTCGACGTGGTTTATCAGAGTGCGAGAAATGCCATCCTTCGTCAACTTTTAGGCTTCAGTGCGTTTACCATTAGATAAACATGAGACCAAATTTGTAGCCAAATGCAGGTAGACCTGGTGGGTATGCTAACATCAAAACACATCGCTGGGTGGCAGTTTTTTCACACAATATAGGCATCTGCTCGAATAGATTTTTGCAAATGTTAACGTACATTAACTTATGGAAAAGCCTTGGTAGATTTTTCTAAATAAACTCCAGTAATTTTGACCCGTTAATTTGAAATGTTGAAAGAAACAGATAAGCTTGAACATTGTGAGCATAGCCTAGCCTCGTCGTGAACACGGACGACCTAGTGCTAGGCTAGATCTATATATATATCTGTCTCTTATACACATCTAGATGTGTATAAGTCTACAATATAGCAACTTAGGTTTGCCCAATTGTTTAAATATTTCATACATAAATTACAAAAAAGAAATGGCTTGGTGAAAGTATTGAAGCTGAATAGGTTATTGAACACTTGTAGGTTATTGAACAAATTTGACAATATAGTGTAAAATATATTTATATTGTCGTTTTTGTGATTGTTACACCCAAGGTATGTATGTATATAAAAGAAATTTGAATCTGAATACGTTGTTGACAACAACCAGGTAATATAGAAAGTAGGAAAAAGTTTTCTCTACATCAATATGTTATACTGAGAGAGGGCGCAATTTTAAGTTTTGGTTTTGACATTTTAGTATATTTTTGGATTACACCACCCGTGTATTTTTTTCTTAAAAGGATGTAAATTGAATTGCGGGCACTTAACAACTAACAACAATGTTTTGGTTTAATAGCAGCAGAAATAATGGCTTAATAGGTTTAACTCGTATTCCGAATGGTATTTTAGAGTGCGTATAAACACCACGCACTATCATTTCTCTGAACAACGCTTTGGAGAAAGAGTGCAATGAAAAAAAAATCACGAAACTTATTCCAGGCTTTAACCCCCCATATTTCATTTAGTCATGTTTTTCATTTATAATCCTAATTTTTAATTGAAATTTGATAACTTACGGTACAAATTAATCAAATCAAGTAGTTATTAGCTCAAATGTTCCAGAAAGGGATTTCACAAATGGCCGTAAAATTAACAGTGGATTGCATGTGATCTATACATTAACATTTTTTATAAAAATTTAAATCTTGAAGAATTGTTTAACAATCAGTACAAATAAAAATATAAAAGTAACATCTTACAATTACAAAAGATACACAAAATGTACATAAAAACACTATTTATTCTACTAATTAAGAGATATAAATATATTTAAAGACAATAGAGCATAGAAATAATTTTAAAGCCCCATTCCCGGCAAAATTTCACTAAAAATTGACTTTTTTTAGAAAATATGCATTTGCATTACTTCAATTATTATAAATCATGGAAAAATATTGGCATGAATTTTAGTTTTACGCAAAAGAATAAAAAAAATGAGAAATACAGGCTATTTCTCATAAAATATTACAATTTTCTTGACGAATTCATCGTTACTAGGCAAATTCAGAGGTTGTAGATCGCATCCACTGGAATACTCTCGCTTTTATGTATACTTTATACAGTCAATAAAGTGCGCCCTCTCTAATGAGATTACTTTTTGTACTTCGCATCTCGCACAATGCGGTCGTTCGGTTAGGCTGAGATATGTTTGTTTAAGTGTCAAAATCTCAGTCAGAATCAGTTTTTTAACAAATTTGAAATAATTCCTATGAAATATTATATTTCACAAGTGTCAATACTAGCAACGGAAAACATCATGTCGGCCGTTTTTATGTGTGATAACAGAACCTAAAATCGAGGTAAGGCAAAATCAACATGAAAAATTCATCCGCATTTATTTTTTTGTGTGGAACACAAAAAATCAAATTTCAGTCTTATTTTACATTTTTTTCATTCTTAGGAATGTCTAAATTCAGTTAAACTAGCAATTCCGTATTATATTTATAAATCTTTATAACATTATACAAAAATTATATTTTTCTTAAAAATTGAAATTTTGCCGGGAATGGGGCTTTAAAATGGACCACGGAAACTTTTGCTGTTATTAAAATCAAATTATTATAATTATAATACTTATTATTATTATTTTATTATTAATTGTCATCTCATTTTATGAAGGTCTCCCCCCAATTGAATTGAATATCACTTTTGGGACTGGGGATTCCATGGTCATTAGCAGACTTACTCTCTTATTAGAACAATAAAGATAAAAACTATTTGATCAGTTGGGATCACAGATGTTAATATTTATTTTTATAAGCTTTAGATATGTAATGAATATTATATTCATTTAAGAGAAGTTTGCTATTTGTTTGATTACTGTAACTGACCTAATGTACCTTTTGTTGTTTTTTCGAATACTGCATACCTTTTTAAATTTTGTAATTTTTTTTATAGTAATTTTGTATATAGTTTGCCCACAAAGAAGTAATTTCTTGTATTGTATTTTTATACTTCACAAGAATACAAGTTCTTTATTCTGTTTTGATTACATAATTGCTGAGGGCGCCTGTTAATATTAACGCCATAAGTAATTAAAATATATAAATTGCAATTTTAAGTATATTTAATTATTTTATTTCTTTCTAATTAATATTTTTAAATATTAGAACTATTTTAAACTACATCTGAAATGCAATTATGTTTTATTGAATTTTCAAAAATTAAAAGACTGACTAAACTCTGACTAATGGTAACATATTTTACCACGCTAGGGGGTTTTCCACGTTCAATTATACACGAAAGCTAGCTAACAACACAGGTTTGGGTGTGAAAAACTGAAACCGGTGAAACGGTAAATTCAGGCTGAGCTATTGAAGAGTTAAGTTGAATCATACTGAAAGGGTAGGTGATATTTTGTATTCATATTTGATAAACAGATATAGAAGCCTGCGTGTGTAATTTTAGTCGAAACCTAGTTAGGCCTAGCGTCCCAACAAGGCCTAGGCCTACTTATAATATAGGGGGCTACGAAGACTATCGCCGTGTACTCGTCGTTCTTCTCTTCCTAGGTAGTAGCCTAGGCCTAACTTGATACGTTCACTCATGCCTTATTTTGTCAGCAGATTGGCGATCAAATCACGTAAATAGCTTTTTCATGAAGCCGTTTTCTTGTGTAAGTGTCAGTATATATTTAGCATGTCCCTGATTAAATTAAACCTTCCACAAAACCTATTTATTTTATGAAAAAATCGTTGATTTTTTAATTTTAAAGAAAATTCGCAATGACCCTATTTTAAATACCACGTATGTTTTGGTCTAGTAAGCAAGTACTGTAGACCCTTACTTAACCTAACTAATCCAAGTGCCCTAGTTAAGTAATACAAAGTACACTGCATTACTATCTATGGCTGTGGTTTAGGATATGGCTAAGATGCTTAGCAAATCATTAGGCCGACCAGCCCTCCTTAAACTAACGTTTGAATACCGCACTTTCGTTTCGGTGGTAAAGAACAATTAAAACCTCATAAAAAAGGCAACTAATCCGTTTACCCATAATTGAATTCAAGGACACCAGTGTTAAACACTCAGTACTTATCCTTGATAATGTGTTAATCCAATTAATATAGTGAGATAACGTAACATTAGTTTAAGGAGGGCTGGTCGGCCTAATATACGGTGTACTACAAAACTTTAAAAAAAACGAACACAAAAACCAGTGGTGGTCGTATATTCATTCCAGTATTCATAAGTTAGGGCATCATTTTAAAGTTTCTACACCCCCTCTCTTTATTTCAGGTGTCATCATATTGTCTACAGTTTTTTAAATGATTTCTGTGTAGAGGGAGAACAACTCATACAGTTGGTCTATCAAATTTAGCACTTTACACTATTTTGCAACATTTTTCTTTTTCAGAAAATGGAAACCTCTGAAGGAAGATTTGGTGATGCCCACTTCCCACAAATTGACCTCAGTAACAAATTGATAATCAAAGTTCAAATAGGTGATGATATCAGACGGATACCAATTCACAATGAAGATATTACGTACGATGAACTTATTCTAATGATGCAACGTGTATTTCGTGGGAAACTCAACAGTACGGATGAAGTTGTAGTCAAGTACAAAGATGAAGGTGATGTTTGTTTTTGGTTCCATAGTCTGATGATTTTACAGATCAATGTCATGGTTTGATTTGTATTGATTTTATTCACAACATCTCTTATTAGGCTGACAAAATTGTTGTTGCCCAAGCCAGCCAGATCGACATACAAAATTTTGGAATTATTACCGTATATTCACATATAAGACAAGGCTTCAACTAACAAATTACAATAGAAAAGGGGTCTTATATGTGCAACACATAGACATTTTTTATTTTTAAATATTCGTCTTATGTGCAAATCGTCTTTAACATACAAACTTTTAGTATGTATGAATGCAATTAATGTGGTGAAATAAGACTTTAATGAACATTTAAAAGAACAATGGTATTATTTGAAACAGCACTACATTTGACCCTGTTTTCAGCCAGCTAGATACAGTATCGAGACCATAAAGAACAGTAAAAAGTAGGAATACTTACGATAAAACGGGTGGGTGGGGGTGGAGGAGTACACCAGACATTCAAAAATTGCCCAAAATTCTTCTCAAACTGGGTGGGGGGAGGGCGTCTTATACGTGGATATGCCAATAACTGATAGTCATTTCATTTCTTTATGCACGAGCGCCAAGGATATGCCAATAAGTGAACTTAATCACTATCCTACGTGGCATATCCATTTAACAACAGGGGACTTAATGGATCAGTACACCGGGGTAGCCCCTACTCTTCTCGAAGGATGTACTCGTACTGTTAATGGTACTGGTAGTGGGTATTTATATTGCGCCTTTCCCTTGCGGTTATGAAGCGCAAGGGTTCTTTAAAGTGCACATGAGCCAAGTCTGTAAACTCCCTCAGGAGTGTTTAATTGCATCAAAAATTGCCATCAAGACCAGCTTTGAGAGAACTATAATTAGATCCTAAAACCAGGCAGGTCAATAATATTCTGATTTCTTTTACTTTTCTAGATGGAGATCTCATTACAATTTTTGACAGTTCAGACTTGTCTTTTGCAATACAATGTAGCAATAGAATTCTTAAGTTGACATTATTCGGTAAGTGGCATTTCAAATGACATTACTGGTTATGTTCACACTAGAACCCTAGTATCCGGATCAGGAGCTAAGAGTTAGCACTCGTGTGAGAATGCCTAATCGGTTAATGCAAACCGTTAACAGGATCTGGACTCGCTAACAGTTAGCGAGTACTATCGGTTAGCAAGTTGAGTGTGTTTCTATCATTAACCAGTCATAACATACACATTTCCAGTTTCCTTTTTCTTGTATGAACGCAACAGGCAACAGTGAGCGCATATGTTATTTATCTGGATCCTACTAACTGTTAGTTGGTGTGTGTGAACATAGCCTCTGATATTTGCAGTTTATTAAGGATATGAAGTCTATGTTGAACTTAAAAAGCAATCTCTATACTTCATATATCAATTTGTATTTTTGCATTATTAGTGAATGGACAACCTAGACCAATTGAAAGCGATCAAGTGAAGCACATACGCCAAGAGTTAGCTCATATAAGAAACAAGGTTCTTCAACTGATGGACTCCCTGGAGCCACCTTCAGTAGACAAAACACAAGGTAATGGCAGAACCTCATGCAGCTCCCTAGAAGCCTTTAGAGTCTTAGACATTTTAATCTCCTATCTAAATGACTTCACACTTGGTTAGTTATTTTTAGGCCGCTGCAAGGGGTGGTGGGACGTCAATTTCCTCTTTTGGCACCCCCTGGACCACCACTGCATTCTCAATGAGAAATAAAAGAAAAGAATGACCTGACAGGTATATATGAGGCCTTTTTTTTGTTAATTTTTTCATCACTTCCCAAAATATTTTACTTCTTGCTTCAACCAATGTTTTAGCTATTGCTGTTCAGATGGAACATTAAGATTTTGCTGCCACTTTTCGCAATTACCAAAATGATGTTTATTATTAATGAGTGATCATAATCCATGTTTCTTTAGCTCCGGTAGTTGAACCAACACATGTATCTGAATTATCGGTACCAAAAGCAGTGAACGTGAGCAGCGAGCAAACTGCTATGTTCGACCCGTATAAACAAAGCTCAGATGCTGTTGCTTCTTCTTTTTACGGGGACAAAGGAGGTCAGTTTAATTCATCTATTAAAAGTTTCTAACAAAATATTGTATTTCAAGCGATTTATAAAATGAAAGTGTATTGCATCAAAATAATTAAGTTCAGAGTAGAGTTTATTTTCTTATACAAGGTTAAGGAAATTTATTTTCGAAGATTAAAAAACAAAAAAATTGTACTATAATACAAATCAAATATTATTAAACTTAAGTAATAAATGTTAACTGCCCTAAATATATTTTGCTTTGTATCCATACCATAGTATTTAATTTAGAACGATGCAAGATAACATAATATTTGACAAATTTAAAGCTCTTAATACCTTTTGTATGGCCAGCAGTAATCATTTCATAGGCCTTATGGGAAGCAGTGGGCTTACACTTGTACACAACCATTTCCCTCATCTGGCTCCCAAAGAAAATTTATGCGTTTGCATAACACGAACATGTGTTAGTAGTCATCAATGACGTGGCATATTTTACAATCATTTTATTTGTTTTTGTTAGTTTTCACCTTTTTACATCTAACTGGCAGTATCAAATTATACCAGAGCTTATTATAGCAAAAACTCTAAAATTTTTTTTCTATAAATTTAATTATCTTATGACCATCTTATAAAGTCAGATTCCGGAGGAAAAAATGTTGTTGATATGTTGTAGAACTGATTTTCCTAAGACAGAAAAAAGTTGTTTGACGAAAAACTGGGAAACGTTGAATGAAATACAGATTTTTGAATATTTAAAAAATGGGGGAAAAAGGTGTTAAAAAGGGTGGTTACGTCCCTTTTTTCCCTATCCAAAATTCACATTTGTTACACTTGGTAACCATTGACTTCCTTTGTGTAGGAATACACTGCATTATACTATTAAGATCAGGAAATCTGTTTCTTTTATTATGTAATGGTTAGTGTTTATATATTTTGGACACATAATTTTCATTATCATACAGTAAGTCATATCTCACTTTCAATTTAATTTATAAAATATGGTGTTAAAATATACTAGAAAATGTAGAGATCTGAGGTATGGATATGGAACAGTCAAAATTAATATATCTGTACCAATTTTGTTTTATAAAATATTTTGAAAATACAGTAGTCTCCATTTTTCCTTTGAAATACGTTAATATCTTAGCAAAATCCATGAAATACAATTTGGCTAGCTGATTTATATATACATATTGTTATTACAACAATGAATTATATCATCAATGGGACACATGTTTGAACCAATAAATTTGCCTTTTGTATAGGTAGCCTGGTCTCTTTTTTTGTTTGTTTAACAATGGTTTCATTCTATTTGCAAGAACATGTGTTGCTATTTCATAGTGTATATTTAAATAGTCTCCACTGCCTGCCTATGTCGTCTGCATTTGGCCTACTACATTACTTTGTGTTGTGTTAGTTTGTGGTGTTCAGACATCATCAAGCCCATATAAGGAAGTTGTGTTCTTTCACTTAAAATTTGAAAGTGTGGAAAAAAGCTTGACATAAAAATAACATTTAACTTATTACTCAACAGAGCAGCCAGAGAGGGCGCCATCACCAACTGATAGCACCTCCAGCTTGGGCTCATCATCTAGCAACCAAGTGAGACAGCAGCAGCAGAAGCAGCAACCGATGATGCAACCTCCACAGCCACAACAAGCTACTGCACCTCAACAAATTTCACAATCAAGTCCTTACTCTGGTATGTTCTGGTATTCAGACATAAAAATGATTAGAAAAACATGGCCACATGCCTTTTGCCTAATCCCAGAATTTTTAATTTTTTTGTTTTGTTTAGAGACAAATATTTTTTAGCATTTCATTGCCTTGTCAGCTATTTTTTTCATTGAAAAAGCAGTTTGATGACAGACGTGGTAATATAGTTGTTAATACGTACAATGTGACATACCTCCCTCAAAACCTCCCTTCCTCTCTTCCTCCCTCATCACTGTTTGGTCTAATGGTGAGTTATTTAAAGATTGTAAATAAATAATAATAAATTAGCCTATTGTTTAAAATAATGTCATTGTTAATTTCATTTTTAGCTGGGGTTACACAGGCTCCAATTGCAGCTCAACCTGGATACTCTACCGCAGGATACCCTCAACCAGCACAGCAAACCCAACCATCACAAACATCACAGCCAGCAATGCAACCGCAGGCTGGTTACCGCCCTCAACAACCCCAAGGTTATGCTGCCACCACACAACAGCAGAACTACCAACCTCAGTATGGCTCTCAGCAAACCCCTCAGCAAATGCCCACCCCTAACTTTCCACAAGCTAATCAACAGGCCTCAAACCAAGCAATGTATACTCAGTCGTACAGCCAAGTGCCACCACAAGGCCAAGACATGTACCAACAACAACAACAACAACCAGGATATGCGGTGCAACCACCCACGGGTGGTCCGAATAATCCGTATGCTAGGAATTTACAATATGGTAGACCGTGCAGCTACCAGCAACCTGGACCGGGATATAAGTAAAATAATGTAATTCAGCTTATTGTGATTATTAACAATTTGTAAAATTTCTGTGTTTGAAACCTTGTGAAAGATAACTCAACAAGTGATTGTTTTCAAACATTACTGCTCTGAAATGTTACAGAGTAGGAGTAGTGTGTTCTTGTTATTAGTGTCAGTAAACTGTACATATTTTGAAAAAAAAAGTATTTTCCTCTACAAAATATAAATCATCACACTTTGGTATTCTAGTAGAAATACTGATCATAATGACATTTATCGAATTATTATTCATAATGTAATGTGCTTTGTATTTCCCTCTTTCAAAGATGAAACCGAAGACATTATTTTATAGCCTCGAGGAAATCTTGTACGCAGAAAAATTTAATTCATATTAGATAATTTACATATTAAAAACCTTACTGTCACATGCAATTTGATCCTGCATTCCATGGCAGCTAAGTGTTATCTAGTATCACTATACACAGAAAAAAATTGTCATGCTGCAATAGATTACGCTAATAATTCTATGGCAAGGCATCCTACCAGGTACCCATTTATGTTCCTGGGTGAAGAGACAAATAAAGTGCCTAGTGAGAGATTTGAACCACCATCCTCAAGGATGCAACAGCAATTGTTACACGACTACAAGTATAGCTCGGTTTCCATGCAATCGCTCACCCTATCGGCGACAGTGGCCGACAGTTGTCGGGAAGGTTGAACCTGGCTGACTGACAAATCGGGGTAACTGTCGCCAATAGGGTGAGCGATTGTATGGAAACCAAGCTTATTGCTTGTAATGATAAGAATGGAGATTGGCTTAAACGTTTTTAAATAGACAATATAACTCTATTTGTCCTTATATATTTATCTACAGAGCCTTATATAAGAATATTTACTACTGTTTTCAGTTGCAATGTTGGCTTAGCTGTTCATGTTCTGTTTTCACAGGATAGAATGGGTGATTCCGGCACTAAATATTTCTATAGAATATAAATCCTCTCCCTACTTTTCATATAACTAAACCCAATTTTATTACTTAAAACTAGATATATAAGGTGTTGTTCACAATTATCAACATTTTCACAAGTGTACAAACAGTACTCTTTTTTGGTACCCCCTCCCTCCCCTCTGTTTGATTTGGCAAACCATTCTTCTCTATTTTTTTGTGAAGCAATGTACTTGGTTGCTTAAATATGAATATTATATCCATTTTTACATTATAATTTTACCATTAATTTGCATGTAAGAGTGTATACATTTTTCTACCCCCTCCACCCTAGTGTTCTGTTTGTACACTTTTGAAAATGTTGATAACATTGAACGACCCTTAATAATACTGTATATATAATCATAGTGGTACAGTACAACCATTTTTTTGTAGCTTCTGTTTTTTTTTTTATATATATATAAACGGTAAGAGAATGTAAATTATCAAATCTTCCAAAAATGGTTTTATTTTCTCCAAACAATTTACATTTCAAAATGTCTGATACATTTAATCTGATTGATATTTGTTATAATTATGTGTAGAAATTCAGTCCATGTTGAATAAAAAAATATGGGCACTACTACATATTCAGTCTTGAATTTTCTTGCAGTTATAAAGATATGATGCACTGTCTTTGATATGCTGAAAAAAAAAAAGTTTTTAGGTAGGTTAAGTTTCAATCGAAAATCGAAAAGATATTTTCATAGACATTTATATTAACTTCATTTAAGAAATATTTGTATTAAAGACTTTAGGATTGCCCTGGAGCCTCCAGGATTCACAATTAGGGCTTAGGCTAAGCTAAATTATCCCATTCTTATGCATTAAATAAGGCAGACATAAGATTTATCAAACATTCTGGGTGACAAAAACGTATTAACAATGACCCAAGCCTGACAAGCCGCCTTGTTTTCATAGTAAAGATTGCGACAAGTTTGTACTTATGAGTCTGCTAGTACCAGCGTAACAAAAGCTCTGGCCTGCACGACAAATTCTCCATGAATTTTACTTCCACACCCTGGGTCTCCCGAGTCTTTAAATCAGCAAAAACTAATGTGTTTCAATCTTTAAATAAAACTCTTATTTTAAAACATTAGTCAAACTAAACATATTATTTTTTATTGCCATCTAACAGTGTTTTGTCAAGTCCTGGATAGTTACGAGACTGTCACTGTTCACATAATAAAAACCTGGTGGTTCTCTCTAGGCAATGTTCAGTTGTTTAAACTTGCCATGTATCTTGGGAAATTTAGTAAGAAAAATATTACGCAGGTTGTTCGCATTGGATTTGGATTGGTCTTTCACATCAGGTGACTTCTAGCATTTATTATACCTGAATAAGTTCATGGAGCTCATGTTGACCTATGCATGTGCATTAGTACATAATGGCAATTAGGTTTTTTACGTCAGGTGACTTCTGGCCTTTATATATATCTGCATCAATTCCTGGATATCGTGTTGACTTGGAGCCTGTACATTACTACTCGATGGCCTTGTAGATTTGTATTCTTCAAGTGTGTCACAAATTTCCTATTATAAAAATACAGAAAATACCATTAAAATGAAACATTTAAAAACTGTCCTTAAAGATGATACACTAACAACAATAATAAAAACTTTGCTCTTACAAGCGGTGGAAGCGGTTTGGCGCAGTGGGAACGGTTTAGTTTCTCAAGGTCGGGGTTGCAATCCTTCGCTGTGAATTTTTTTGCTTGTGTCCTTGAGCAAGGCACTTCATCTGCATTGCTTCTCTCCACCCAGGAGTCTAAATGGGTACCTGGTGGGGTTGCCTGCTCCTGCGCTGATTACCAGCAGCAACACTTATGTGGACTCAATGACCAGGGAAAAACAGAACGCTTTGCAACCTAAAGGAATAGGCGCTCTATAAAAATACAAACTAACAGTAATTAATGGGAGACTATGACCATCTACTAACATGCCTCAGCTTGTGTACATAAGATTATAAATTGTTAATGGAAAATTTAAAAACATACCTTCAGATTTTTAACCCTCTCATGAATCTCTTCTAAGATGAAATCTTGGTTTTGAATTCTTTGTAAGCAATTCTAAAATAAATAAAGTAAAATCAATAAACCAATTGTCTTGACCAATGTGAACATTCTGTAAATTTTGAAAATTAGTGATAAATTAAATCATGGTATACAATTCTTTCAAAGATTAGAGGAATTATATTACTTAAGCATCATATCTGTTTATTGGCAAGAAAACCATATTCTTTTATTAATTTTTTTAGAGTATTAAAACTGACAAATTACCCACCTTCATTTTCAAGTGAACTGCCATCACAACTTGGCATACGGCCTGGATGTGCTTTGTTTGTAACGTGATTGTTGTTTCTTCTTTGATTGACAAGGTAAACGTCACTTGATATCCTTCAGGGCTAATCACTGACATGGCTACCTGATTGGTAAGTGCTCCAGATGGAAGGTGATTCGTTGCGGAGGGTAAAAGCCACCGGAAAAACTTTTCATAATTTAAGCCATCTGAAAAAGGAGACACATTTTATATTAAAACAGTCTGGTTTTGGTTTCTATTTTCACATATAAAGTAATTACTGTATAGATACTGTTGAAGCAGTTTGGCAGAGCGGTAATAGTTTCTCACTCTCGAGGTTGGGGTTTAATCCCTCACTGTGTATTTCGCTTGTCCTTGAGCAAGACACTTGTGCATTGCTTCTCTCCACCCAGGAGTCTAAAGGGGTACCTGGTGGGGTTGCCTGCTCCTTAAAGCATGTGGACCCAATGCCCAGGGAAAAGAAGTGCGCTTTATAATTTCAAGGAAGAGGCTCATTACAAATGCCTAACAGTACCAGATGGCGATAGTAAGTGGTTACTGCTACTTCAGGCTTTGTCGTAATGGAGCGTCTGTTGTCTGCGCGTGCGCGTCGTGATCTCAGTTTACAGCAAACGTATTATGAAATAAAATCTACACATTAAGCCAGTCTCACACGTTGCAATCTTGCTATTACACTTACAACTACAATTTTTTGAACATGTTACGGACTGAAACAATGTAGCTAAAGTGCCTGGCCCAAGGACACAAGCGAAAACCCAACCTTACGATTGAAGGACCAAACCTCAACCGCTGCGCCAAACTGCCGCTGCATAATACCTCACACTTTGCCCAAATACCCGCGCACCAGATGATTTTAATCTAAGTGCTTAGTGCAGCTTGTAGTAAGCAAAAATTGCAATGTGTTACACCAACATTAGATTGCCATTACACACAAAAAAAAGCTAAAATTACCTTTTGAATCAATTAAGTGGCAAATATTAATGGTTTTGAAACGTAGATTGATTGTCAGATTATCAGATATTACAGGTTCTTTAGCTGGCGGTTTAAATTTTGCAAGCGACTGTAGAGACTCCATCATCCAGCCAACTGTTCCAGCACTAGCCTTGGGTGAACCATATTTAGGTTGAAAAAGACCGGTGGTGGTGGTATTGAAAGAGTTCCCTGCTACTGGCAACGTCATTGGTTTTAAAACATCGAGTATGTCAAAGTGCAAACTGGTTACTGGTACGATGATACTGCTATTATGGAGATTAATTTCTGTTACCACGGTTTCTTTCAGATTAAGTTTTTCTACCAAATTTGAAGCATCAAAATGAACTGCTGAGGTAATGTCAATCGGAAGACAGATGTTCGCAACTGTCAAATTCACCTTTAGTTCTCGTCTCTCACCTGGATGGAATACACTCAATGGAATTGATTTACATATTACAGCATGTGGTTGATTACTATGTGAGAACCAATCGTGTTCTCCGATTATCATAATATGGAAGGACCAACCAAAGCTCATTGTAAATGTATTCTGATTGGCTACACTGCAGATGACACTCAATTGTTTGCTGGTACCCTGAGCATCAACCTGTAAGTTGGCATCACATAGTAAGGAGGAATGTATTTTATTGGGTGATGTTAGTTCACTGGCAACATGGCATGCTTTATTTAACTCAAGTAGTATAGTATTATGTATGTGAGAGTTATTTTTAATTGCCTCCATCTCTGCTGCTAGGTTATTAATGGCTAACAGTAGCCCTTGAATTTTTTCCCCTGTTGAACCAGCTGAATCAGGACAGGTTGTGCTCACTATTCCATCAGGATTCTGGACATTCCCAATCTTCCCTCCGGATGTAAGCACAAAAACGTTTCCAATGTTTGCGTCATCTGAAATAAGCAATAAAAAGAGTTCAGACAATTTAAAAAACTGACAAGTATAACAAAAAATCAATAAAATCTGTACTGTATTTCACAACCTGTCAAGTTATGGTCAGGTTGTAATCACGATTTCAGTGATTTGAGCCTTGGCAGGAAGGACAATTCTCGAATTACCTTCACTTCGGTCATAGTACATCTCAGAAAGTGCCACCACTTGCGTAATTCCAAGATCATATAATGAAAAACTATCCGATATTATCTCCCGGTCTGACTCCTGGGAGTTAAAGTGGAGTTGTAGTAATTCTTTCCTGGTAGAGTACAGTAACATGGATGATGTGATTTGCACTGCTGCCTGCACAGGCTCCTGAACATAGCATTCCTTGAATACTGTCCTCAATGTCACATCATCTTTTTTTAGCCCAATCAGAAGTAGCTTTCCTTCTTTTCCTAAAAGTACCAGAGTATCTCCTACTTGTTGTTTATGTGTATTGTCCCTTATTATTGCACAAATTGAAGCTAATGGCTGCCGTATATTATACAAGCAATTTCCAGTTGACACTTGCGCTTTTGTAAAATTGCCGACATCTTTAAACGGCAAAGTGAAAATTGCACCATCAGGAAAGCCTACGAGGATCATACAAGATTCCAGAATGTTGTATTCCGTACCAAAAATTTCATTGAATAGTTCATCTTTAATAACAACTGCTTTGTGAAATTGATGAGCAGTTGCTATGGTTTCTGATACAACACAGTACATCTTTGTGCACTGATGCATATCAATGGATGGTGAACTCTGATATTTAAATATCCTTTCAGACCCATGTAATTTTTCAAAATATATACAGGATGAGTCTTTCTTTTCCTTCATGTCATCAGGTGTTGCCTTCAGTTGGAATGGTGATATTAATATTGTATCTCCTTCAGTAGATGCAGTGAATAAATAACTCCCAATAATTAATAATTCGACAAGGTTCTTAACCTTCAACACAACAGAGTTCTCATCTAATTCCAGAACATCGTCTGAGTTTGAACTGTTTGTTTCTGGCACACAGGGTGCTGTTTCACATTCTAGAAGTCCAGCAAATATGTCCTCACTTGAATCAGACTTGACAACATGCTTCCTGTTTTGAAAAATAATAAAAAAGTAAATTTAATTACTATTAGAAATACCATAACAAGGGGCTTATACCAGAGGAACTAACAGTTATTACTGGAAGTTACCTACCTCTTTTTGTGTTTGATTACATCCTTCAGATTGATTGCACATATTTTTCCATCTTCTAATCCACAAATTAATGTTTTTTTCTTGTTTATAATTGCAATACAACAACATAGCAGTTTCCCTGGCAACTTATATATGACCTGAAATTATATAGGAAAAGGTAGTTATAATTTATATAATAATATAGTGCACAGATATAATTCATGACACTAAACCCTGCTTGCACAACAATAACAACATTTACATTTTGAAATATTAATCACAGGCTCTAAGAAATTTGATCAAAGTGTCAAAAAATTTATTGTTATACTATCACTAAGGATCGGTTACTAACACAGCTCCTCTGGGCCTAGATAGGCCTAGCCTACTACTGCTCGACTCCTCCTCCTCCTAGCCTAGGCCTTGGTAGGTGCCTAGTAGGCTAGCTAGTTAGAGAGAGTATAAGGCAATGCCTAGACGTGGCAGGCTAGGCCTATAGTAGGGCCTAGGCCTACCACCACCAAAACTATATAACAATATACATACCATGCGTTTCTTCTGTTTGTAAAAATATATTAGTGTGTTTCCATTACCGACAACATTAACAAAATGTTTTCCTACTTTAACTGATGTTATCGATGATCGATTAACTACTGGGCTGGAACACTGATCAATTAGTTCATAGGCACTTCTTGAAGATACCGCCATTGTTTGCAATCTTCGCCAGGTACGTACGTTTACAAATGCACAGTTGTGTGTGCATTCATGCGTTTAGAAAAGTGGGCGGAGCTATCTAGCCAAGAACCATTCACAATCTAGTAAGTCGCCGGTCCGGTTTGACCTTTGGTTTCACCTTCCACTTTTGTTTTTTTTTTTGTGCTGCTGGAGCTTATGTGCACGTAGGCTTAGGCTTTTAATATACCTATGCTTAAGATTTCTTATCAAAGCTCTGCAGAAATTTGACATGGAAAACTATGTCCAGATTTCTATAGTTATTACATCAACATGTCTTCTCATGACATCAGTATGGTTCCTTGGCATTCGAAGAAGTAAAACTAAACGAAGACCTATCGAGGAAAGGCCTGTTGGTGAGCCATGTGGCCGTGACTACAATATTCAGAGAGCGGTAGGATGAGCCTTTTTCTGCATGCAAAAATATTTTAAGCTCGTTTAAGCATCTACAGTATTTTCTTTATGGTTTAAGCCGATTGGCCGGATCTGGGGCCTAGGCATTACATTCTCAATTATTAGTTATTCCTCCATGTTTATGAAGTAATTAAATTTAATACATGTTTAAATTTTTGTTGCTGCTCTTTTTTTTACAATCTACCGTATATATGTATTTTAACAACTTTTTACAGCATTTTGTAAGAAGCACTTTATTAAATCTATAATAACTGGATTTATTGGTGCAAACACCAAGGATAGCCCACGAAAGTCTAGAAGAATACTTATTTCCAGTGGGGTCCTTCTGATGGTGATTGGGCAGTACACCGGAGACAATCCGCTACTCTTTTCCGAAGACTGTACTGCGTTTTTTAACGTGCACATGGGCCATAATGCACATGGGAGCAAACAGATTAAATGTCTCATCCAAAAGACGTTGCGCTATTGTAACTTGTATTTCAGCCATCGAAAACACAATGAGAGGCAGCAATGGGAATTGAACCATGGACCTAGAGATCTCCACATTTCAGCGCACACACAGCGGCTACCACCAGATTAGCCGACTGAGCTAAGCTGCTCTCTCTAACTAATAATAACATAATACAAAAATATTTACTATGTGAAACTGTTATTATAATATAAGTTGGCATCGTGATTATTGGCCCGCACATCTGTCTTTTGAATCAACAGAACATACGGACAATTTCTTCATGTGTTTATTTTGATTACATTTTTGTAGGTATTGCCAAGAGCTTCTGGATGGACTTTAAAGTTTTTAACAACCTTATCTAATTCTGTAAGTTCTTGCAAATATTCTCTAGAACTAAAGGCAAGACTTTTTTTTATACCTTGTTTTGCGAACTTTTTTTTTATAGATCGTCAGAGGTGGGAGGAAAAAAATATTATTTTGTTTTCTAATTTATTTAGATCTCCGGTTGGCGGTGATGGTGTAACCCCATACTTCGGTTTGGGTGCTAGCTTGGTGTTTTTTGTTTTTTTTCCCGGCTTTTTTCTTTGTGTTCTTGACTTTATTATTGTCTAGCGCATAGAAACCTTGTTTATTTGCGCTATATAAATCCATCTATTATTATTATTATTATTAATATAAAATGGCCAAAAACATCCAGTGGAAAATCCAGGTAAAAATATATAAAAACTTAAATTTTTTTCTGAAATTTTCATTTTATTGTAGTGGCGGGTGCGCCTATTGGCCAAAAATAAAATTTTATTTTTATTTGTAATCATTACTGGCAGGCAGTGGGTTTCGATGAACAAGGTATAAAAAAGTCTTCACTAATGTTGCATTTCAAACTTATACAGTACATTACTTCAGATATTATTTTGTGGATATTGATTAATAGTATATATTTAGCTCCGATTGTGAAGAACTTGTAACTGAAAGATTAACATGATGTAGTGAAGTTTCAAGGAGCACCAGCTTTCCTTGCCCATCTTGTGGCCAAGTGTGATATTCCTTTTTCATAATATGAGGGCATGCCATGCATTCTTAAAAATTGAAATATTTGTTAAATACATAAATAACTTTAGTTAAGCTGGAAAATAAACTTTATTACATTCATTGATTGCAATGCAACATTGATCTCTAATACCCCATTCAGACTAGCATTGCATTGCGATCGGTTGTAGCAATTGCAACACCCAATCGCAAAGTAAAATCGTGTGTGAAAGCTCACCAATAGTAGTCGATATGTAATCGATATCGCAATTGTTACCCGTTGCGATTGGGTGCTACAATCTTTATTACTCCCTATTACCACGGAATCTGATCGCAACGAATCACAACGAATTCCACAGGCACTGTTTGGCTTAGGTCAGGCAACATAGGCCTAGACAATGAAGCCCTAGGCCCTAGAATGTAAAGTTTGCTTGTGTTGGTCTGAATGCGTTCGTTCATTGCGATTGGGAGTAATCAGTTTTGGATTACCGCCGATTACATCGCAACTGATCGCAAGAAAGTGTAGTCTGAATAGGGTATAATGCTTCCTACTCTTTAACATCATGTGTGGTCTATATATACTCTACTCAGATTCCTGCATGCTACATATACCCACTGAATGGCAGCTCCCCGAATGGATAACCCTTTTTGGTCAAGATTATAGATTGTGATATGTATAGTTATAAAAAATCTTTATTGTTTATATCTTGCAGCTTATAGGGAGTTTAACATCATCCATCACCCTGAGGTAACTCTTTAAAACATCTTAAACTTTCCACTTCAGTAGATAGGCAAATATATTTTTCAAAACTTTTTTAAAGCCCTGCTCTTGAGTTGGAAAAAGGGTTGCTACATCCCGTTATTAGATATTCAAAAATATGTATCTCATTAGTCTCTCCCAAGATTTTTGTCAAATATGCTTTGTGTGTCTTAAAAAAGACAGTTGTACAACATATCAAAAGGTTTTCCTTTGGAGGCTGGCTTTAATACATTTTTTTGGTGTTGCATACAAATTATTTTTTAAACTAGCCTGTAAATAATCAAATCATCTCACTGAACCAATAATTGGTTATACTTTTTGTAATTTTATTTTTGTAATCATAATGAAAACATCAATATCAATTGTAGGCCTACCATTTTGAAAGGTGATGTAACTTTGTTTTTTATGTGTAATTATTCAGAATTTTCTTAAACAGTGCTATTGCAAATGAGTATAATATTATGGTTCTGTTTAGTAACTTTTAATTACAATAAGGTACTGTGCTTAGAAATGAATATTAAAAGTTCAGAGAAATATTATACAAACAGTACAAGGTCCAAGTACTGTTAATGAGATAACAGGGATGGCACTCTAAAATCTGTACTCATATTTATTTTTGAGTGGTCCCTGTTTATCATTTTTTCTGCAGATTGTGAATGTCTGATGATAAGAAATGTTTAAATGAGATACAAAAACCAAATTGTTTTTACAATATTAACAAATTAATAATGATAATAATAGAATGACAATGATATAGGATTTATAATGTATTCACAGGGAAAGCAATCGTTATTGTTGTAATTATTGTTTTGACAGCCAAACTAATATGAACCTGTTCCAAGGCTTACACCTAGATGATGTGCCTACTTACCAGCCTAGCTTTCCATTTTGTGGACCCCCTGCCGCAGTGAATGAGAAGTGTACCACAGATAACTTGATCTTGAAGCGACGCAAGAAATCCAGAAAAGAATTTACCTATTACTCTGTTTCTGAATTTCATCAAGCATACTTGTAAAAACATTTGTAAACAATTTTATTTGATTTTGATGTTATATATTTTTAATATATTATTGAATAGTATTATTATTATTTTATTTTTATATTATTATTATTATTATTTTATTGTTATTATATTATTATTATTATTGTAATACTATTATTATATTATTATTAATATTAGTATTTTTATTGTTACTGTTGATATTGTTATATTTATTATTTTGTAATGATTATTGTTAATATTATAAATACTGGCGCATAATAAATGTCCGTTTTTTATTATCATTATTATAAATAATAAATTCAATTTGATTCTTTTTAAGATCTGGTGAAGTGACTCCTGCCGAAGTTGCAGAGGATGCCATTGAAGCTATCAAAGCGTCGGAAGCACGAGAGCCAAAACTGAGAGCCATCGTTGAGTACAATACATTTGAAATTAGACGGGTATGTCACATAGCAATCAGTTTATCAATCAATCAATCATAGTTATATTTTTGATCAAATATTCTTGTCCACCTAATTTTTCAAGGAGTTTTTGGATTATAATTAAAACCACTACCATTATTCTCATCATCATCATCATTATTCTCATCATCATCATCATCATCATTTTCATCATCATCGTTATCAATATCATTCACATCATCATCATTTTTATCGTCATCATCACTCTTGGCTTTGTTGTTAGGGTTACTGTCAAATATTTTCCATTATTTTTTTAACAGATGGCAAAAGAATCAACCGATAGATACAATGAAGGGAGTTATTTGTCTGTATTTGATGGTGTTCCTATTGCATTTAAAAATGAGTTGCATTGTGTAAGTATAGATGAATTGCATTTCATAGAGAACCCAGTTACTATCATAATAATCCAATTACTAATATAGTAATGAATATATAGCGTAGTCCATTGGATAAATTGGTGCAAAATTTGATGCACAACCCAAACAAAGTATAAATACACCCTTCATGAGTGTTTTTAAAGGAAGTAATTGCATTATTGTAAGACAAAAGTGAGTAAGGGCCTATTTCTGCTGAGCAAAAAAACACATGTTTTTAAACGGTTATTAAAAAATGTGTTTTTCTGGAGGTCAGCCTCAACTTCCGTTAGTGACTGTCATTTAAGCTCAGCCCACCTGCCAATGCTCGCATTACCGTGTTTTTATTAGTTGCACTTTTCACTAGAAGCACATTCAGAAGGAATTTAGCCGTTTATAAAAAACACATGTTTTTGGTGTTATTCAGCAGAAACACACCCTATGGCTATGTTCACACACACGGCGTAAGGCTGGCTTAAGCATGGTGTAGCGTACGCCTTTGTGTGTGAACTAGGCAGTGGCATTGTTAAAGCCACTCACTACGCCACGTCCTTGGCGTTATTAACGCTACCTGTAGACCCCAGATTAGCTAACGCCACTGAGCTAACGCCAGTGATGCTTGAATGATTTCACCTCATTTCAAGAGATTGACCAATCACGATTGCAATATATTAGCTACTTTGGTCTCTTTCCGGTGCTCTCTATAAATGAAATGGTAAGGGGTTCTTTTTCTATTGCACTTTACTTAGTTATAATGTATATGCTTTGTTGATTGTGATATTTTAACCTATTTAGACCGTCTATTAAAACCTGCAACACCAACAATGCTAGCTGAAAAATCAAAGTAAAATTGTTCATTTAAAATACAATAGGCCTAATCATAAGTTCACTTCGAAACAATTCACAGATTTAAAAGTTTTACTGATGCACTGTTAATTTTACTACAGTTAAGAACCCGTACATTATTTAAAACTTAAAACTATTCCCCTATATTACTACTAGTTTAACGCCAGCGTTAATATAGCAAACACCGTTAGTGTGTACACTTTGGAATTTTAATCCGTGAATTAGCTTACGCCTGGCGTAAGCTACGCCAGTCTTACGCCGTGTGTGTGAACATAGCCTAAGTTGTCATCCTCCTTAATAATCAGAAACTACAGCTTTCTCCACGCTATTGCATTTGATCATTAGCTGTGGAATTTGATTTTCAGTACAGTACATGATATTTTCTATTTCGTATTATTTGCATGTAGGTGCCATACCACAGACGAGCAGGAAGTGATATTTTAGGTAGAGAAGAAAGCACACAGGACGCCACAGTTGTTGCTAAAATGAGAGAAGCTGGAGCTATCATCATTGGGATGACCAATATGCATGAGTTTGGGCTTGGCACAACGGGATGTAACCCAGGAAAGTAGGTGCCCCAAATTGTTATTTGTTGCAGCCTTAGATTAGTCTAAAGCTTTGTTCACACTTATTTAAAAAAAAAAAAACTGTTGTATGGCTATATACTGTATAGTCATAATATGCTTATATATGGTCATGATGTGATGTCATCATGACCATATTTAGGCATGTCACATGTTTTTGTCAAATGAAATTTGATAGTTTGGACAGAGCTTAATGTTAAATGAATCAGAATATCTGAAAAAATCAATCTTTTTATCAAGTAAAAGAGTTATTGGATTTTGCATACAATTCAAAACTTCCTGTACTGTTGAGTATACTGTGCAGATATACTCTATTCTGTGGAAGAGAAATTCCAATGTGCTAAGGTTCACTTCATTTCAGTACAGTGCGTTAACAGATGACCATTGGCTGGTAGCACTGTGTCCAATAAGAGTAATTTTGACCTAGTTCTGCAGTATACTCGTGTGACTTTCAGGAGGATATGTTTGTTTTAGGTGATAAAAAGTGAATTGATGAGGATGCCTTGTGAAGAAGCATGTTGACCATTGAGGGTGCTATTTGTGAATGAATTACTTATTAATGTTATTATTATTATTGATTTATATTTATTTCCAATTAGTATGGTATGCAATAAGAAATTGAGCTATATTTCAATTAAGTCAACATTGTTCTACTATCTCCCTATACCTCAATTCGTATTTAACTTTGATATGTATATTTCTCATCTTGTATGAAACTACAGATCCCTAGAATATCCTGATGACTAAAACCTGAATTCCTCAAACCTTGATGAGTGTGCACTGTGGACTGTGGGTCTGTATAATGTACTCTGATACATCTTTGTTTGTTTTTGTCAGATTACATGGAACAGCGCGGAATCCATATAACACTAATCATTATACCGGAGGAAGCTCTAGTGGCTCGGCTGCAGCTGTATCCGCAGGTGATAAATACTCCTGAACAAGATCAAGATATATCAACTATTTGCAGTTGATAATTTTAATGTCAAAAAATACTCATTCAACTGAGTCTGTAATAATTTTAGAATAAATAAAATTAAATGTATATAGCATTATCATTTTGATGTTATTATAAGAAATTTTCCTCTATAGTTTTGTTTGTAAATTATATGTTTTCACCTTTTGTTCTATATTGTTTTTTCTTTATAAATAGGCTGCTATTGAGTTTGTAAAAGATTGTTACAGTTCCGTATGACTGTACATACAAATTTTATATTTAGTGAATAAAGAAAATTATTTCTCTCTGTATGTTGTTATTATTAGGTTTATGTCCAGTAGCATTTGGAACCGATGCCGGAGGATCAATTCGTATACCATCTTCGTTCTGTGGTGTTGTTGGACTTAAAGCTACCCTAGGGCGAATAAGTTATTATGGCGGAGCAGGACAGTGTTACTCCTGCTTACACTGTGGGCCCATCTGCACCTCAGTGCGAGATGCAGCCTTAGCTTATGGTATGTGATCCATAATAAATTTATTTATTGCCTCTAAAATTGCTTGTAGACACACCAATTTGAGTGGGCTGCAATACTACGAAATGTGTTATTCATGATATCTTTAGATAAATCACATTCATCTACCTTTCAATCACAGTTTGGAGAATTGCATGGCAGACTCACATTGGAAAATTCAATACAAAGATGCCATGTCTGTGATATGATATGATAGTGATATAGAGTGATGATGTATGAATATTTAAACTGCAAAACGTATAGAAAATCTGATGAATGAATCAGCTGAATTGCGATGGTGTTTGTAATATTTTTCAGTAATTCCTCTGGTTTAAACACTTGAGGCATGCCATTCCAAAACGTACTGTCACTATAATATGTTAATCTGAGTAATTTGCAGAAGAATGTGGCAGCATTATATACTTTAGTACAGAGAAGCTATATGTAAAAGACTTATAACTTTGTCAATAGTAAGTTGATTCCAGTAATAACCTATCATTTTAAAGCTTGCAATGTGGAGAATATGTAAACATCAATTCTGTATTTTTTGCCATTGCTGGTTTTGGGATAGCATGCCTCATGGAGTAAGTAGTGGCTGTGGTTTCCATAATGATGTATCTAGGACCCAGTGCATTTCCATATATTCCATATACAAAGTCTTAAGTCATACACTGTAAAATTTTTCAGTTTCAAGAAATTGGTGGTAACTTTTGTCAAGATAATAATTGTAAATACTGTTTAATTTATATTTTTTCAGCAACTGTTGCTGGTCCAGATCCACTTGACCAGTTCAGTGTACACCAGCCAGAAGTCACACTCTGGAACTTTGATGACACTGATTTAAGTAGTATCAAGCTTGGCATTGATTGGCGATTCTTTAGAGTAAGAGACACTTACTAAAAACACATACTCTGTTGGTGACAATGTTATTGGTGATGAGGTTTTTGGAGACGTTGCTGTTTGTGGCAATTTTCAATTGTGATCTTGTAGTTGATGAGTGGCTGGGAACAATGCACTAGGTGACATGCTATTGGTGACAATACTGTTGAAGTTAATGCTGCTAGTGACAATGCTGTTGATAAGGATCTGTTTGTGACAATGATGCTATTATGCTGATGATGCCGATTATGTTGAGTGTTAATGCTGCTTGATGATAATGGTTGAAAATGATTTTAACATGGTCATAATTTGGATATTTAGATGATGCATTACTTCTGCTGATAAAATAGATTTATTTCTTTCAGGATTGTGATAAAGATGTTCTTAGTGCATGTGAAAAAGGTGAAATTTAAATCAATATTGTTTTTTACTAGAATAATATTTTATAAAAATGAAGTAGAAGAGCATAGGATATGGAAGTGGATGGTATAAGAGGAAGGCCAAAGCTTACATGGAAAGATATGGTGAAGAAAAAAAGCTGTAAAGTTCGTCTAAATGAGGACGATGCTGAAGATAGGAAAAAGTAGAACATGAGGGTGTCATTGCATCAGTCAGTAAACCCTTTGTAAGAGGGAAAATGCTGACGTAAATAAATGATGATGATGATGAAGTATAACATTTTTGTGATAATTATTTGTTTGCAGCTGTAAAGTATTTGGAGCAAAATGGAGCAAAGGTAATTGATATTGAGATACCCGAGATGGAGGAGACAAGGATTGCACACGCCATCACTTGCATGGCGGAGATGAAGCCTACTATAACAAAGGATTTAATCAACAACTACGATGAAATTGTAAGTAAACATGATGGTCTTAATAACAGCATAGTTAAATTTGCTGATAAAAAAATGTTCAAGAAAATAATCAAATAACTTGTTATACTTAACAGGAGATGGCTCACCCTGTAAAGCCAAAATGATGCTTAAACAAGGCACTAAAGTTATGATGGTTTATGCCAGCCAACACATAACAAGTATTATTAAAAAGGGATTATTATTTAGAACACAATGTGGGCCAAATGCGGCCCGACAGTGATTTGTTTTCTGCAGCCTGTAAAAACGAACTAAAAACTCTGTGTGCAGCCCACCAACCATCTTTGGCTAGCACCTTGTTTTTTATGGCTAGACACAGATTATCTGTAAGTAAAATATTAAAACTCAGCATAAAGCAGTATAAAAGCAGTGCATAGAGGCCTTAGGAAACATACTCTAAATATCAAAGTTTGGGTGTGGCCCTTGGTGAAAAAATTCACCTTGGTCCTCCGACCCATTTTTATGCCCACCCCTGATTTACAAGTATAAGGACACCAAGTACAGATTTTTTTAAGGATGGCTTTAGATATAGAATTGGAGTCATACATATCAACAAAAATCCTTTAGGTAATACTGAGGAGTATGGTGTTTTTTTTTTTTTTTGCTTTAGGCTTGTGAATCTAGGGTCATTTTGTCAGCTGTGGATGACCTGAAGGCTACAGACTTTATACTTGCAAACAAACAGCGAACACGAACCATCAAGTTTCTAAGAGAGATCTATGAAAAAGTAGATGTAATAATAACACCAGGTAAAGCCTTAAATACTACCTCATGTATTACATCAGATGTAAACTAACCTGTAGAATAGATGCATATGCAGAGGCAGATTCAGAATTTTTCAAATGGGGCAAGGTTTTTAAATGGGCATGTATTTCTGATATATTTTTTTCTTATTTCAGTACTTGGTATTGGTATATATTGAAATAAAAAATGTAGTGGCAAAAAATGTTCCCCCATCTCCCATTGGATGCTCCCCTGATATGTAGTATTTGTAGTCGGAGGAATGTCATGTAGCAGCATAAAGTATTAAGGCAAATTAATGTGGAAGTACAGGAACACATGACCTATGGCTTGCCATTGGTGCCTGAAGTTTAGATTCTTATAATTAGCAAATGAAATATTTACACATATAAAAATTGTATGTTCATCAGTCAGTGAACAAAAAATTGTAATAATAATAATGGGGCATCAATCCTAAATAGGCATACTCTAAATTAACTTTGATGGACTTTTCAACTCAAGAATAATCCTTAGAATGTAAATTTACATTTGCCTCACTAGGAACTCCCTTCACTGCACCTGAAATCCAGCCTGGTGATCTGAAATATGGTTTATTTGACTCAAACCTTATGACAGGTATAATGAGGTAAGAAATATATGTTTAAATGATACCTTGAATCTTAGCATATCATTACTACTGTACCTATCACATGAATTTTTTTAATATACAGTATTGTGTCAAATTGTTAGTTTTGTTTGTATTTAACATCATGTTTAAATAGAAAGAATAAATTAACAATAACACTTCATATCATAATTTGTTATATACAGTACTTTATTATATTGTATTTTATAATCATAATTGTACTCAGCCCTCAATGTCTGAACTTCTAATGTTGGGGGCACCATTCATCCCTCATATTCTGACAGGCCCATTACCCATACACGCCAAAGCTCAAGCATTCGGCTTGAGACTCGCACATTCGAGGTCTCTCAGGGGGACATTTCAGGGGGGGTGAGGGAAGATTCTCTGGGCACCTGCTAGGAGAGGGGTTTTTAGAACAAAAGTCTCACTCTTGCAAATTAGTCTAACTTTCCATGTATGCCATAACTAGGGGTTTCTGTGGTTCAGCAGAACCCTTCTTTTCTAGTAAACCACCCTCTCTGATAGGCCAAACCAATCCCCTTGCATCAAACAATCAAATTGATGGTGAAATTCACCTCTTGCATGCTAGAATGCTTCAGCTCCAGTCAGCTACACCCATCAAGAGATCTTCACTGCACCCCATCAGAAAAAAAATAGGCAGTCCTGGGCTTCTTGCTCCCATGGGAACTGCTTAAGAAGTCTTGATTATAACCTTTAAGATTTTCTATAATTGAGGGCAGTATTCAGGTACACTGCCATCACTGTAAACATCTTCTTTTTGTCCTCACCAGATACATGTTCTTGGGCAACTTTATAGGCAATCCGTGCTTAGTAGTTCCGGTCGGATTCAGCCAGAAGGGTTTGCCAATAAGTCTGCAGATTCATGGAAGATGGTGGGAAGAGGATGTTGTACTGCGCATCGGGAATGTAGCGGAGATGGCTTGTCCTTCTCGTCCCCAACCAGAAGTCTTTTACTCTTTGTTGTGATGCGAGTCTGAACTGAACTCTGTGAATCAAAATGTAATAATTTAAATAGCAATATATTGAAAAGATGAAGGAAATTTGAAATTGTTTTGTTGTGATGCGAGTCTGAACTGAACTCTGTGAATCAAAATATAATAATTTAAATAGCAATATATTGAAAAGATGAAGGAAATTTGAAATTGTTTGAAAATTTAAATGATGTTTTAAAACCAGAGTTTTTAATTTCAAGATAGCAAAAGCAATATGCTACTGTACTGCACATTTTTCTTAATATGTTATTAACTTCCAACCCCCCCCCCCCAAGGCGGCTATTGTTTTTGCCGTTGTCGTTGTTGGTTATTTGTTTGTTACCTCAATAACTAAAGTTTGGTAAGTCTGATTGGTTTCAAACTTTGCACAATGCAAGATGGTAATAAAGAAGAGGGACCCTATTGTTTTTGGTATGTGTGTGAATATGCTAATTGTTCATTTGCATAATTAATATTTCACTAATCAGGTAATTTAGGGTAGTTACCTCGAAAACTAAAGTTTGGTAAGTCCGATTGGTTTTAAACTTTGCACAGTGTAAGATGGTAATCAGAAGACAGCCTATTGTTTTTAGTACTTGTGTGTGAATATGCCAATTGTTCATTTGCATAAATAATTTTTAAATAATCAGGAAATTTACGCAAATGTCCTATCATAATTCCCAAAGAAAATTTCTAATGTACGTGCAATTGTAATATTTGTTAATGTTGTTGTTGTTGTCGTCACTGTTGTAGTAAATTATTTGTTACCATGATACGTAAAGTTTGGTAAGGCTGATCGGTTTCAAACTTCTACTTATCAATTTTCAGAGAAATATCACACTATTGGAAGGCTATGCTTTTACTACGCAGCATAATAAGAGCATTTCTAGTTCAAATGTGTAATAGGCTATTTAATGAAGCAGTTAATATATCCAAACCAGTGGCGGATTCAAGGGGGGTGGGGGTCAGCTGACCAGGACCCCCTAAATTTTTCACAATTAAAAAAAAAAATTGGGAGAGAAAAAAAGAAAACTACATTCAAATTTTAAGCCATTTCCGGCCACCTAGAGGTGACGTAATCGTAATTTTTTTACCTCAGCCCCACCACATTTGGGGTATAGATCTTCCATCTCTCAAAGTTCCTCCCTGGGCCCCCTCTATTTAAAATTCCTGGATCCAACACTGCAAACAAGAAAATTGCCTGAACCCATATTGTGGAAGTTCATTAAACAGCTAGTATACAAATACAACATGGTTTTAGCATGGAGGAAATATATTAATATATAATATATATTATATATATATATATATTATATATATATATAATATATTAATATATTTCCTCCATGGTTTTAAAAGCAGTATTGAATTCTGCTTCTCGAGGTGGTGGATGATTGTGAATACCTCTCAACCCATTGGTAGTCGCGTTCCAATCGTCCAACAGCGAAAGAAGTAGAAGTCACCAAAAATAAACCATGTTGTGTTTGTTTTACTCTACATAATTATTGAACAGCAAATCGTCAGTCTACTTTAGCCATTTCGGTCTGTGAGGATAAAATTACTCATTTTGCATATGGTTTACGTAGGCAGAGGTGTGGTAGTCGATCTTTGGGTAGTAGTATTTTTTTCCACTTGCGTATAAATTTGGTACGCGCAGAGAAGTAGTAGAAACTACTGCAACCTTTACCAGGTGGAATTGACCGATGAAATTTTATTACCCAATTGATATTTTTATTATGAAATATAGTAATAAAGCTTGGTTTCCATACAATCGCTACATGCTATCGCCGATAGCTTTTTTTCGGTGATGTTGATGACAAAATGGTCACAGAAATGCTAGCTGAAGACAAGAATATTCAAGTAAATACATGCTCAAAGGGGTTCATGGTTTCATCATTCCTTCCATTAATTTTAAATTATAAATTTTAAAAGATTTTGTTTGTGTATGGCATGTCTTTCATTTTTAGTGTTTTAAATCGCATTTTTAACATTTACACCCACAATGATAGTACAGCCATTGCTGCTCAATAACGAAAAAAGAACGAAGAAATGGCTATTGACCTAATAATGAATAAAATGGAAGAGATTTAAATTGTGTAATACGTTTTTGACTGATTTATGATTGCTGTATTATGAAAATCCTGATTTAAAAGTATTTTGGTTCAATTATACAGGTCTCCCTCCAATTAAAGACCACGTTTGGGACCTGGGTTTCCATGACGTCATACTCGAAAATTGTGTTCCAAGCATGGATGTTATTAGAGAGGGCATTTTTTTTTCATCATAATTTTAATTACATAGTCGGAAAAAATTCCGAAACGGACGATTATTTACGACCAACATCAACGCAAGAAAAAGCAAGGTTATCGTCTGGGGTTTTACGTATTACTCATAGCTTACAGAAATCAAACGTCTTCAAAGACGAGGCCTTCGTGTTATCACTTTCACTAATTTCATGGACAAGTGTATCGCATATATTGAGCCGTAGACATGGACTCTTAAAAATCCAGGACATTATCACTTACCAAATTGGAATTGCTATGTACCTGTCACTAATGAATTAAATAGTAAACTAATGTGTGTATTTGCATATGAATCGCATCTCCACAATTACAACACCATTGGTAAATGTAAACTTAAAAAAACTAAAAATAGAAAACTGAAATGTACTAACCACAATGCTTTATATTGCCCCTGAACACCTGCAGTAGTGGTGCCTAGAATGCAGTAGCGGTGCCCATTTAAGGATTAATATATAAAATATAACAACAGCTGCAGTAGTGGTGCCCATCTAAGGATTAATATATAACAACACCTGCATTAGTGGTGCCCAAAATGCAGTACGGCGGCCATCTAAGGATTAATATATAAAATATAACAACACCTGCAGTAGTGGTGCCCATAATGCAGAAGCGGTGCCCAT